CCTTATTTTATAGAATAGTAGCAGATTTCAACCAGCAGTCTGTGGACTTCACATTGAGCAACATTATTCTAGACCATGGTGAGGGGGTCTGTCTTTATCCTAAGAGCAATGGGAAGTCACAGAAGGATTTGAAGGGGGCATGGTGGTGGCTGCCTTATGGAAAAAGGGTAGGAAGGAAGCCAGAATTAGCGGGCAGATGATGGGGAAGTTTGTCTGAAACCTTATTTTCCTGGTGAAATAAGAGGTATCCTTTTTAGGTGAGAGAGCAGGGACACAAAAAAGAGTCCAGTGGCGATATGAAAGGAGTGAAGGAGATTTGGGAGAGCCATTGTAAGTAGCTATAAGTAAGGAACTGGAAAAGAGAAATGGGGACCACATGTCATTTAAATAAGCCTATTTTTTGATGTAGTTCTGGGACTGGATCCAACGAACTCGTTACCCTAGAACGCAGGTCCAGAGAAGATGGATGTTAGAGATGAGCAAACAGCATTGGCACTGAGGTTCCATGGAAAGGTAATTTGGCTTGGAAGTCTGGGTACAGTGTTGTCAGGATGGACTAGGGGTAGAGTACAGTGAATAAGAGATAAAATGAGCCCACTTAACAAACATTCACTCACCGGACCCCTGAAGAAGGACAGCCCATCTCTTGTGCCGCATGTGCCTGCAGGGAAGCCAAAGCATTTTGTCTTAGGCCAGGCATAAACTGGATTATCAGAGGGCCCCAGAGGTGCTGTGCGGAGGCAGCTTTTTGCCACTGTATTCAGGGGAGCATGTGTGTAGAACCCACCAGATGCCCGAAGGAAAACTAAAGCCATAGGAAACAAAAGAACTATTGGGTCATAACAAAATGGCAGTAGAGAAGAGATCATCAGGCAAGCCTTGGAAAAAATCTTGCCAGACAGAAAGTAAGTAAGCTTGGGGAAAATAAATTTTAAATTAATATGTTAAATGATTAATATGATGAATGTTTCCCTGAGTTATATCCATGGGCAGCGGCCACAAGGTGCAGGTAGTGACTTGCAGGGAGAAGAGAAGAGACTGCTTCAATAGTCTTTATTCAGCAGTTCCTATGTGCCAGCACTGAGCTAGACACAGGGAATATAGGCATGCATGAGACATGGTCCCTGCCTTCAAGGGGATTACAGTTTATGAAAGGAAAACCATCTAAAAAGATACTAATCATTGGATATATTAAGTGTTATGATACAGCGATGTCAGGAAGCAGAGCAGTTAGGCACTAAACAAGCAGAAGGGGAGATGTGAGGATGAGGGAAAGAAGGCTTCCCAGGGAAGGTGACCCCCAACCTGAAGCTGGGAAACAAGTGGAAGTTAGCCTGCTAGGGAGGGAGTGGAGGGGGACGGTCCTAGGTAAAGGAGGAGCATCTGTAAAGGCCCAGGTGGGAATGATAGAACATCAGAAACTTCAGGCACTTCTGTGTATTGCGAAAACATTCAGGGAGGAATGTAGCAAGAAATAGGCAACAGAGGTCGTCAAATCATGAAGGCATCTAGATGGCAAGCTAAGGACTACAAATCTGACGCTGGGGGCAATGACAGACCTTTGGCTTTCTACAGGCAGTCTGAGTTTGGAGAGAGATATTTTTGTTAGAAGTCATCAGTCTGGAGGGGGTAGTTAAGCCTAAGCAGGAGATAAGATCACCCAGAGAAACCCTGAAATGTTGAATACTATGTATGCACGGGAACCTGAAAAACACCGTTTCGAATGAGTAAGCAAGAGACATCCAAGGGTGAGACAGAGGAGGGGGAAGTAGAGAAGGGTTATCAGGTGGCTTTATGGAAAACAGGAAAGAGGAGCTTTAAGAAAATGGTAGACAGCCACATTAAGAGATGCTGAGGACTGAAAAAGGGATGTAGCAACAAAGAAATCATACTGAAAACTGGCAACAATTTAAATTTCCATCAACAGGAAAATAGACAAATTATTGCATTTTGCTACACTGGAATCCTATAGGGCAAGGAAAATATATGAAGTATATCTTTATATGTCAGCATGGATGAGCCTAGCAAAGATAACACTAAATAAAGCAAGTAGCAGAAGAAAGCACAGTAGAATGTTATATGCTGTTTAAAAATACTTACAAATGTAGCAGAAATATAAAGACATATATTGCAAAGATGAATACCAAGTTCAGAAGAGTGGTTATCCAGGGTCAGTTCAAGAGTGGTTGTGATTGAGAGAGTGATTACACAGGGCTCTTCAGTGGGAACCGTGGTGTTTCATTTCATAAGCTGGTTGGGGGACAGAGTGTTTGCTATACAGTCACATGTTACTTAATGATGGAAACACGTTCTAAGAAATGCATCACTAGGCAATTTTGTCACTGTGCAAACATCATAGGGGGCACTTCCAAGAAGCTACGTGGTATAGCCTACTACACACCTAGGATATATGGCATAGCGTCATATATGCAGTCTGTCATTAACTGAAATGTCGTTATGTGGTGTGTGACTGTATTATAACTTGAGCATGTTGCATGTAACAATCATTACTGACCACATCTAGGGTATTTTAGTGGAGTGCGTGTATGTTGGTGGTGGGTGGGGGGTATCCAGAACGCAGTGAATGGAAGGGAATGCTGTAAGCATAATGCCTGAGGCCTGACCAGGTGAGTGTCCAGAAATTGGATACAAATGCATCCAGGTTCTAAGGCCAATGTTAAAAGATAAACTGAGGCATATTTAAATTTTTAAGAGTTTATTTGAGCAAAAATCAATTCAAATTGGGCAGCACCAAACTTGAAGTGGTTAGGAGCAACAGGAGCTGGGGAGAGACTTTTATAAGAAAAAGGAGGAAACAAAGCTAGGAAATTATTGACTGACTGTAGGTTAAAGCCTAGTTGGGTGTTAGCGATTGGTTGTCCTTAGCTTTTCGATTTTCGTAACTTGAGGCATTTACAGGCTTATATTTTGGTTGGCGGAAGACATCACAACATTAGAGCCACATCAGTCTAATGGTAAAACTAATTAACTGCCTGAGCTTTTCCGCTTAGCTGTAAGTTACTTAACTTCCTGTGCCTCAGTTTCTCTTTTGTAAAATGGATATACAACAGTAAACTCTCTGTGAAGCTGTTAGGAAAATTTAATGATTTCATACACTCAGTGCTGAAAATAATGCCGAGAAGACGGAAAAGTACCAGTTACTAGAGACAGCCATCGTCATCATCAGTACAGAACAAACAGATTAGTAGCAACCACAGTAATGTCCTGAATTCCCTGAACATTTTACAATTTGCCAACAACCATGTGAGGTAAGTAGAAAGTACAGGAATTAAAAAGTACTTTGCAGAATTTAACACAAAGAAGATCTAATGGGCCACATTTATTCCCATATCCCCTATTGACTGTACTCCCTCAGCTGGCCGGTGCCAGCACAGGCACTTACGAGTTTAAGCTATTTTTTAAAATGCGTGGCTACATCCATATCCCACTTTTATTCGGATCAGTCAGGAAATCTCTTCCAGAAACACCGAATTCCTAAACCACTCACCGCTTGCAGAGCCCCGGCTCGAAGGTCCCGCCCCCGGCCCCAAGCACCGCCCC